TTTTTTTTACCTTTGAAACGAAGATTATATTAGCATATTTGTATATATTTTGTAGTGCATACATAGAATTAAATATCTCTTTTTAACACATATCCTAGATTACTTAAACTCCAATAGCCTTGCATTTTAAATCTACACAATATTTTCCATTGACATTTTTCTTATGAATCCAGTGCATAGGTGAAGTCATTTTTGATTTCTGTTGCATTGAAAAATGAAATGAAAGAAAAAAAAACAAAACAAACATGTTGGCTCTGGTTATCAACCAGTTTTTTTATTTTATTTTAGATAATTCAACTTTGAAGAGGGTTTTATTTTTTTGATTTCGCATGTTTTATGATCAACAACAGCTTCTTCTCACCCTCTGTAAACTCGGTCTACATGATACCGCTCTCTCCTGGTGCTTTTCCTGCCTCTCCCAGTGTTTCTTTCTCCGGCTCTGCCTCTTTTCCCCAATCCCTTTGTTAGTGTTCGCCAAGGGTCTGTCCTTGGTCCCTTATTGTTCTCAATCTACACTCCCTCCCTTGGTAAACTCATCAGCTTCTTCAGCTTCCAGTATCATTTCTATGCAGATGACACTCAAATGTATTTGTCCTCCCCTGATTTCTCGCCACCCCTCTTGACTCGAGTCTCTGACTGCTTCTCTGCTCATTTCCTTAAACTAAACCTGTCAAAAACAGAACTTCTGGTCTTCCCTCCCTCAAGTGTTGCTACTCCTGTGTCTGTGTCCCTGCCAGTCAATGGCGATACTATCCGCTCTACCTCTAAGGCTCGCTGCCTAGGTGTTCTCTTTGACTACGACCTCTCCTTCACCCCTCATGTCCAATCAATCACCAAATCCTGCCGCTTTTATCTCAAAAATATTGCACGCATCCGACCCTATTTAATGTCTGAAACGGCAAAGGTGCTTGTCCATGCTGCTGTCCTCTCTTGCCTTGACTACTGTAATCCGCTTCTCAGTGGTCTTACGTGTTCCCAACATGCCCGTTACAGTCTATAATGAATGCAGCGGTGGGGCTCGTCTTCCTGTCCGTCCGTCCGCACCTCCCACGCCTCCCCCCTTTGTCAGTCCCACACATTGCTGCTCTGACCTACTTATCCTCACTAATACACAAATATGTCCCATCTAGTCCCCTACGCTCTGCAGGAGACCTACGTCTAACCTTGGTTCATATTCCTACCTCTGATGCTCACCTTAAAGACTTCTCTAGGGCTGCACTGTTCCTATGGAATGCTCTTCCCCTCTCTGTTAGGCTTTCACCCAATCTCCACTCCTTCAAAAAATCTTTGAAAACTTACTTCTTTAGGAAAGCATATCAATTAAACTGTGAACAGCTTTCTCTCCCACACCCTGATTCCGCTCCTGAAACGGTCATCAAAACAAAACACTAAGCCTTCAATGAACACTAGCAACCTACTTTTTCACCCAACTCTTACCTTTTGTGTCACATTACCCCACTCCCTCTAGCATGTAAGCTCATTGAGCATCCCTCTGTTCCTGTGCGTTCAACTCATCTGGTTACATACGCTACGGAACGTGTTGGTCGCTTGATAAAGAATAATAATAATGTTTACTCAAACTAAAATAGTGAAAATGCTTAGGAATTATATTTAGTGCTATAATATGAAATGCTTTTGGTTCATTTTTTTTCCCCTTTTTAAATAAAGGTATGTGTATATATATATATATATAACCGATTATCATCTTCCTTTATTACAGTTGAGCTTTATTATTTATGGGTTTATTGATGCATATTTTGGCAGGCCACTCTCTCGAAGGACCACATCCAAATGAACAAAGCACATGTTTCAGATCCAGTTGCTCTGAATGTACACCAGCAGTTGTATTATTGTGGAGTTAATCAGAGCCCTGCTAGGCTGGAGGAGATTCTGCACACCGTCTTTTCAACGGAAGGTTCGTTTTATATAATACACTTCCGTTTATACAGATACTTCATTTTCAGCTTACGTAAAAGAGCACAATAAAGCAGGTTATTGCTATGGGAAATCAGCATGTAAAACTAGACAGTAAGTGTTTTATTTAATCTCTATGCACTGTCTGGTCAGTTCCTGTGGTTTGAGGTGTAGCGGCTTCATTGGCAGAAACTCAAAAACAACCATACAGAATACAGTGTGGTCATTAAAGGGACACTGTAGTCACTATAAGCATTTCATCTTTTTGAATTGGTTTTAGTGCCTGAAGTGCCCTGGCACTGTCCCTCCATTCAGTGTTGTACCATGTTCGTGCAGTATGCCACAAAATAAGAGTCCTTGGCCACCCACAGTCCGGCCCCTTCAGTATGTGTAGCTAAGGCAGAGATTACACACTTCCTTGTTGTCATACCCATTCATACCGTCAGTTGGAACTCTGACAGGCTTAAAACCAGTCAGCTGACACTCTCAGCCAAATCACAGCTGCCTATTGCTGCTCTGGCTAATACTTCCTTATTAGCCAAAGCAGCACAGAGGGGATGGATTGCTGGGGACTCTTGTTTAGCATTAAAAATTTAAAGTTTAAAAACGGTTTAATGCTGAAAGAAATGATGGTACCAGAGGACTCCAGACACTAACCAGTTTAATGAGATGAAGCAGATACAGTGCCTACGGTGTCCCTTTAAATGGCATAATAGAGTGTTGGTTTTGACAATACATTGCTGTTCTGATTAGAACAGTCTCACAAATGTCTGTCTCTGCTAGCTGCTGTTCTGTATTGCACATTGTACCAATATTTTATTAGTTTTAACACAGATCCACACTAAGTTTTTGGATTTTCGAGATGTCCTCAGCTGCACCTTGCTGAACCCTTGTTGTCATAGTAACAAGGATAATTCAGCTAATTTGGTATCTGAGTATACACCTTAACTTTATTCCTAAAACTTCTTCTCTATAGATTTCCACCTGGGAGAATATGGAGCAGGATTATATTTCACAGCAAGTCCTGTAGCTGCCAGAAATTCTTTGCAGGTAAAACTAGCAACGTTATTTTAAAAATCCTCAATTTAAATTACATAATAAAGCCTTGATTTCAGTGTAATATTTGAACCTTAAAGGGGCACTATTGGAACTATAACCATTATAGTGCTCTGTCCTTTCATTCAGTGTTAAACCATTGTTGAGTAGCTTAACACTGAATGAGGATCCTTTCACTTAGTCACATCACCATTGTGGCAGGAGCTTTGGGAAACAGATTACGCACTTCCTTGTAGCCATACTGATTTATACCTGAATGGGTGCTGTCACAGGCTGAAAGTGATCAGCGGACACTAACCCACCCATTGCTACTCAGGCTCATGTTTCCACATTAGCCGAGCAGCACAAGGGGATGAGTTTTTGGGAACTCCTGACTATTAGTGTACTAATGGAAGGTCCGCCCTGGGTGATAGTTGGGATGGAGGTGCTCACAGCATTTCTTACCTATGTATGGTGACCAAGGGGACTGCAGCATAAAATGTAGACTTTTAATGGAGGGGACAGAGATATGACATTCAGCCGAACTCAACACCATGTGCTGTAGACTGGCAGAAGTTTATATGGCAAGCCTCATTCTGCCACTGTAAAAGGGACATGGGTGGTGAGAAGAAAGGGGGGTTAAATGCACACAATAGTTAAAGGGGGGTTAAGAGGCACAACAGGTGTAAGGATAAAAATAAAACAGAATAAGGGGGTTAGAAGGCACACACACAAGGAGGCAAGAGTGCGCAGATGCGCAGAGTGCTGCCGAAAGAATATACTGCCCCAGGTACCAAATAACCTAGGTACAACTCTGCTCCAGACACTGTAGTTACTGCAATGAGATGAAGCAGCTATAGTGCTTCCAGTGTCCCTTACTAGCAGATCGCTCTGTGATTCTGTTTGAGATTGAACTAATGAAGGCACAAAACATGATTTGATTGCTTTTGCTAGTCTTGTTTACACCTGTCAACACGTAAGTGGAGCTCCATAGCTTCCCCATAGCGACCTTTTTGAAGAGGTGTGTTTTACATTTCTGTAGCACCCACACTCCTCCTCAGTTCGTCACTGATTTGCCTCCTCTGTGACGCCAACATGTTGGCTTCGCTACCAGCATCTGAATGGAGTGTTCCTTTACCCACTAGACAGTACTAGCAGCACTGGCTAGGTAGTTACCGTAGCAACCACAGCGCATGCACTGTGGGGAGGTCTCTTCTGCTCCCCTGGTCTCTGAATTCCTCTGTATTGAGTGTCTGTCGAGTAACAGAGAGAAATGGGAAAAACACTTTTAAAATGTTTTTTTCTCTCTCCAATCTATACCTTTGTATAGATGGAATGTGAAGCTCTTTAAAAAGATGAAGTCACTATGGACATGACCGGTTCCCTTTAACCCCTTAAGGACCAAACTTCTGGAATAAAAGGGAATCATGACACGTCACACATGTCATGTGTCCTTAAGGGGTTAACTTTGCTGAGATTCTTTTTCATTGATCTGCTATTAGATCCTGGGAAGGTGTATCTTTGTTGTTTGTGCACATCATCTCCCTGCTGTAACTGCCTCTCGTTATCTCTTCCCAGCATTACCAGGTGCTAGTAGCAGATGTTTATATTGGGAGGATAGAAGTCGTACCCCACAAGCAAGCGAGCAGGTACACAACGCCCACCGCATAACAATTTTCCTTTAGTCATTCAGTATTGTGATTTATTACTGTGTGCAGGCGAGTCTGCTTTTATGGTTTCCATTCAGCTAACAGCTCTCATTGTATTCTCTTTTCAGGACTTGCGTAACCAAAGGGTGTGATTCACTTCTGGTAAGAAGAGACCAACAATGGCCATTACTGTAGCATGGGAGACTCCTACCACGAGCAGTATTAGGAACCAACAGTAAATGTTTTTTCTTTCTCTAGATCCCAGGGAGGACGTTCAGTGGGACACTTCCTCACTTACAGAAAGAGTTTCTGATATTCAGTCACTTGCAGGTGAGTTCCCGTCACATCTCATACTCGATTCTGCTTTGCCACAGTAGTCATGGCTTGCAGTACATAATTCCTACCTGCATCTCTCATCACTGCTCTCAATCCCACAGTTGAAAATAAATTCAGCTCTACAAAAGTAAATCCACATCTCCCAGGCATTTCCTGAATTTACCCCTTCAAATCTCAAAATAATGCCAATTTAAGATTAACGTAAACCATTCACATCCACGAATCACCTCTGCAAACCAAACCCTAACTTCCAAATTTCGTTATCCGATTATTCTTCCCTTACTCATACTTTTTCATTAGCCAATTCTGCAATGTCCCCGCACCTCCCATCCCTGTGTACTCTCCTTGAAGGAACACTCCAGCATTATAAATAAATACATTTATTTGTAACAGTGGAGTGTTGCTGAATTTTTATGGCCACCTTCCTTTGCTCTAAAAAGATTGAATTACTTCTAGTCCAGTAGTGAGAGGGTTCTTCACTGCAAGTCCACTCATTCTACTAACTGGGAAATCATCTCAAGTAATGGTATGCCAGCAGGCAGTGTTTTAGAAAGAGGCCAGTGCATTTCTATGTGAAGCATTGCCTTTTGCATTGTGCTGGGGAACAAAACAATCGGGAAGAGCAACTTCCTGACTCCATGATCGACAGCGGGGTAAGCGGAAGCTGCATCATAAAACTGTAAAAGGGGGGACCTTAAATGTGTTTAGAGTATTTCTTCAAAATGTTTCTTCCATTTTCTTCTCCCATTATAATCCATTTGATAACTTCAAGGGACAGTTTAGTGACCATAACAACGTCATCTAAATTAAGTTTATTTGGTGCTAGGAGGCACCAGGCGCACTCTTACCTAAGGAGGTTAAACCGTCCACTTATATTTTAAAGTTTACTCTAGTGCCCCTATTCACTCCCCCCCCCCCAGGTGGCACCCTGCTTCTAAAATGTAATTTTAAGGACAGGAAGGCGAGTGCCACGGGGGCGCCGATTGACTGAAAGCAGTCAGTGGCTCCCCATTCACAAAACTGGCTTTAAAAAAAAAAAAAAAATACATTTCTTTCCAAACCAGTTCTGTGAATGGGGAGTCGCTGATTGGCTGAGCGCAACAGCTGACCGCTCTTAGCCAATTAGCGGCACCCCTGTGCGGCAGCACTCCGCACTTCCTAAAAAGTGAAATATTAGAAACCGGATGCCGCAAGTGGAGATCGGCGCTGAAGGTAATTTTGAGGTTTAACCCAGTGGTTCCCAAACCAGTCTTCAAGGCAACTCTACCAGTCCAGGATTTAGGGATTACCCCATTGTGTCTAAGGTGTTTTTACAAGGAAATAAATAAATAAAACACTTTAGACACAACGGGGTAATCCCTAAATCCTGGACTGGTAGTGGTGCCTTGAGGACTGATTTGGGTCCCACTAGTTTAATCCATTTAGGTAAGAGTGTGCCGGGAGCCTCCTGGCACCATAACAACTTTATTTAGACAAAGTTGTTACGGTGCCTGGAATGTTCCTTTAATAAATATGTTTTTCCAGAAACTGACTGTAATTACACTGAATAAATTATGCAAACAACCCATATGTTTTATTTTCCAGGCCATACCAATCTGTATTCTGAAGTACAAAATAGTATGTAGGAAACAAGATATAACTGGTGCTCATTCTAAGCCATCAACATGCGAGACCATCACCTTTACTCTATGGTGGATTGGGATGAAGGAATGGCTGCATACATACATGTTTGGAGTTTTATATTCTGTTTTTAAGAATGCATGTTTAATTTTAAAATGCTTCAGATTTTACTGCTCCAGAATAAAAAATGAGAACAAAGTGCACCATGTTCTATTATTCATCCCAGACAATCTACTAGATTTGGGATAATTAAAGGGACACTATAGTCACCTGAACAACTTTAGCTTAATGAAGCAGTTTTGGTGTATAGAACATGCCCCTGCAGCCTCACTGCTCAATCCTCTGCCATTTATGAGTTAAATCCCTTTGTTTATGAACCCTAGTCACACCTCCCTGTATGTGACTTGCACAGCATTCCATAAACACTTCCTGTAAAGAGAGCCCTATTTAGGCTTTCTTTATTGCAAGTTCTGTTTAATTAAGATTTTCTTATCCCCTGCTATGTTAATAGCTTGCTAGACCCTGCAAGAGCCTCCTGTATGTGATTAAAGTTCAATTTAGAGATTGAGATACAATTATTTAAGGTAAATTACATCTGTTTGAAAGTGAAACCAGTTTTTTTTTCATGCAGGCTCTGTCAATCATAGCCAGGGGAGGTGTGGCTAGGGCTGCATAAACAGAAACAGTGATTTAACTCCTAAATGACAGTGAATTGAGCAATGAAATTGCAGGGGAATGATCTGTACACTAAAACTGCTTTATTTAGCTAACGTAATTTAGATGACTATAGCGTTCCTTTAAATGATTTAATTTGAAAAGGGTTGCGGGAAGTATACTCCTGCTGGGATAAACACTGAAGGCATCCAAACACCGTCAAAGGGGACACTGTAGAAATGTATAAAAGACCCATAAACATACACTGAGTAGAGGGAACAGTTCAGAGGTATATTGTCAGAAATCAAGGATGAATACAAAGGGAACACCTAATAATATGTGGGTACTGGGCATATCAAAACATTAAGAGAAAAAGACCTGCGGCTGGCAAAAACGGCATGAGTATGTAATAGTTGGTATCACAGCATTCTAGGAATATAGAGATGCTGTATATAGATATATTAATGCTTAGGCCAGGACCTCTCATACCAGGTATCTGTTCTGTTATTTACAGTGCTGGTCTTTGTCAAGGTCTTTGTTGGTCTCATTGTAGGATGCTTTAGAGAAGCAAAGAGCAGCTTTTCGATCACATTCACATATATGCATCTCACACTTGTTGTTGTCACCTGTATTGGGAAGGAGAACACACGTTCGTCAAGACACTTTCCTTGGACAATATTATTCCTAATTATCAAATATCCATCATAGACCTTCTCCTGAAGTGAATCAGACATCATGTTCACATTAAAAATAAAACTCTTTCAATGGTATTGCACTTATTAATGTCTGTAGTACAAAGGATATTGTAAAAATAAAATCACTAATTATTCGATTTAAAAATATTCTCATCAATCACATCCATTATTTATTACTGTGGATCCATAAAACATGCCAGACCTCACATCCATTTGTTTTTCTCAGACTGAACCACTACTTGCTAACCATTCCATTATCTATGGCAGAAATGGGTGCTCGGGTGCTCAGTGCTTATAGGAGAGCCATGAATAGGGGTTGTGACATCCTTTCTAGTGGGAGTTGGATAAAGAAGAGTGGGGAGAAAGGGAGAGCTATGGTGAAAGTGGGCAAATCAATAAAACAGAGGAGATGGGAGTGAAGTAGAGATATATGCAACCAAAATTAGTTATTTGTATCTATTTCTTGGTTTCTGGAGAAGTTTAGGCAAATGGGTTAAAAATCGTAATAACTCACTGAAATTGATTTAAGCCCTTCTCTGCTTCTAAACGCAATGTGACCCAGGGGTCTTTGGAAACACTAGAATTAAGCTGGTGTTGTGTCCTAATTCGCTTCAAATCAATTTACCACTTTTACCAATAGACTTTTAACCAAGGCTTAGACGCAATGTTTGCATTCAGGAATGCCATCAAGTGGGCACAGTGAGTGTGGCAGGAAGCAACTCACTTGCCCAGGAGGTCTGCAAGGGCGCAATTCTGGTTGAAGAGAGAATATGTTGCCCAACTGGACTGCATGCTTAGCCATCTGCAGCATTGCTTGGAGGATGTGACGTCATACTTTTACCTCCCATCACAAACAATTCTGCTTGACAAGGTAAGAAATTGGAAACCAGTACCTGAACTTTCCATACTACACCCCAGGAAGACCCCCCTTGTGCAACAGAAAAGTAGGAAAACAATAGGGTGGCTAAAGAATCTGTATGTTCTGGTAGTGTCTGGAATGTGTATTGGTGTGTTTGTTAGTATTTGTCTGCCATTGGCTGCTAACCATTACTTAAAGACTGGGCATCTATTAGGTCCACCCTCCATTTATTATTTAGAACCCACACCCACTAGTCACGGGTTAACACACATACCACCCCCTTCCATTTATTTTAATTGTCCACTCGTGGGTGGACAATTTATTAGGTGCCCCACCACTTGTACCAGGTCTTAACTTTATTGGATTAGCAACTGGGAAGAAATAGCTGCCCAGTTACTAGTCTTTTATGACAGTAAGAACCCTCTGTTTTTTTCGCTGTTTAGTAGATATGCCCATACCTGCGACATTCCTAATAGGAATATTACCAAGTATTTTTTTTTTAAAACTTCATAAAGCTGGCTAAAAGAATAAAATTGATGTTTTGTTTGTCATCATTTTGAACTTTAAACTTCTTACCGAAAGGAAAGCTAGTTAATCCTTATGTTGGGTTGCCATATGAATACCAAATAAGGGAGTTATCTGCTAAACAGTCCCATTAAAATATGACAATCCCACAAGGGTAACAATTTAGGGAGTTAACTGCAAGAAGCACCTGCGGCGTGCATTGCAGAATTTCATTCATCCAGATTAAATTCCGAAATCAAATAATTGTTGAATTTTATCCAAAACGTATTAACTAATTGACAAATTAAAAAAAAAATTAACATTTTTTTTTTTTGTCCAAATGTATTAAGACTAGGCGAAAATTGTGGTGGTGCCCAAGTGTAATCCCTTGTAGACTAGGAAAATTCAATTTTCATTGGAGCACCAATCATGCTCTATTTTAGTGTGAGCTAAATTAGACAAAACAACGCAGTATTATGGAATGCTTTGCAAAAAGTGATGCGTATTACAGCGGCAATGGGCCTAAAGGATGGACTTGACATAATAAGTTGGGATATGGCTGGTCAACTAGTGGATGTGGCTGATAAAAATCACATGGTCTAGCCCATGCAGATGTGTGTGTTATACAGCCAATCGGGATTTAAAAAGATTGACCATGTAATTTATTATACACCCACTTGATAATTTACTTACTGTTGCAGGTCACACTATGATCCTTACAAGAGTAGGAATAAAACTCCATGTAGGGGTTGTCCAAGATAAATTTACACTCCTCAATTTTCTTGGAGTCACCATAGCAGTTGTCGTGTATTTTACAACATCTAAGAGACAAATTCAAAACAAATAAAAGTCTGAGAAGGTGATACAATTCCACATCAAAATAGAATAAAATAGAAACATAATTTAGAATTATGAGTAAAGACATGTCTTGGGTTCACAAGGTTTGCTGAATATAGTGGAGGTTACCCAATACTTCATGGTACTGA